TTCAAATGCTTTTACTGAAGGTATGATGACGTGGTCACATACATATCAAAGAATAGATGAACATGAAATAGTAAAGAATCACACTGATGCTGCTGGAAGCATATTTTTAAATTCAAGCAAAAATATGTTTCCTTGCCATTTTCAAAACAAAATCTCTAAGAAAACATATTAAACATATGAACAACCACTAGCCTCGACTCGTGAATGATGGAGGTGATAGTGAACCGGAATTTGGGGTAACCAATTGATAGTGTTTTAATTAGGAATGGTCGGATGAGTATATATATATATTATAGATATATTGAATGTATTAATTACACAAACGTGGATGGGGGGGACACTTAATGTATAAACTTAATGTAGAACATAGCTATCTTAATATTAATAGTTAATACAAAATCCAGTAGGTACAACATTACGTGTCCGCGACGTCTTGAGGTGATGCAAAGGGGTGATCAAACAACAGCGATGAAGCCGACGACAACGAGCAATACGTACGCAGTCAAGATACGTCGGCGAGTTAAAACGACGGCGACGAGCAATGCGTGCGCAGTTAAGCTCCGGCCCGATGATCAGTTGAAAGGTTCGTGGAAGCGAATAATACGCGCGTCACGAACAATCAACGTGTATTATGTCGATTGTCGACAGTTAACACAGTGCGAACGATGTATTCGTACGACGGCGAAACTCGTGTTGGCGAACAGTACGCGCAATACGAGCGGTCGCACAATATACGTCGGTGAACTAACACGACGGCGACGCGGGGTGATGACGGCAACGGAGGCGCACACGCGAACGCACGTAAATCGGAAAATAATCGCTTAAGACTATTTTCGCAGATTATATTATGTGCAAAAACAAAGGTGAACGGACGACGACATTACGGTACAAAAAAAAAAACGATCTTTTTTTTACAACGGCCATATGAACGACAACAACAACAACAACTTTCAGTGATAACAGGCCTCGTGATACGCCACACCGGCAACCGTGTGTCGTTTTGTGCAACGCTGGTAACTCGACGATGGCACCGTCCGGTGCGGAATATAGAGAACCAACTTTATCGCATGTTGTGCGGCGGCAACAACATAACAGACAAATATTAGAACGTATCATTGATGTTATAAAACTTATTGGAAAAAGGGGTCTAAGTTATAGAGGGAATCAACATGAATCAGCATATATGTTGGATAGTCTATCAACTGATCATGGAAATTTCTTAGATATTCTTCTGTTACTAGGTAAATATGATATTCATTTGAATGACCATTTGAAAACAATTATAGAAAAGAGTAAAAAAGCTCATGAATCAGGAAGTAAGGGAAGAGGTGGACTCATTACATTTATTTCTAAGACTACACTGAATGTTATTATTGATTCCATTAGTTGCATTATTAAAAACAAAATATCTGATGCGATTCGTGAAGCAGGAATGTATTCAGTAGAAATTGATACTACTCAGGATATATCTGTTATGGATCAATGTGCTGTTGTAATAAGATATGTTGACAAAAACTGTATTAAAGTAAATGAAAAATTAATTGCAATTGTAGAATGTTCAAATTCATCTGGCCATGGTATGTTCGAATTACTTCAAACTGTATTAAAAAATAATAATTTGAATTTAGAAATGTGCATAGGTAATGCAACAGACAGTGCAGCCAACATGCAGGGTATTTACAATGGCTTTACAGCTTGGTTAGAAAAGTTCTCTCCAGGACAAGTGCATGTTTGGTGCTATGCACATATATTAAATTTAGCCATAACTGATGTAACTAAGTGTTCATTAGAAGCAGCATCTTTATTCACTCTTCTGAATAATGCAGCTGTATTCTTTAAAGAGTCACATAAAAGAATGTCTATCTGGAAAAATGTTGTAGGTGAGAAAGAACAGCGAAAATTACAGAAAGCTGGAGATACTAGATGGTGGGCTAAGGAAAATGCTCTTAATAATATTTTTGGATCACCCATTGATGGTTTTAATAGTGCTATGTATGTTTGTGTTGTCAGTGCTTTGTATAAAATAGAAAAATCTGATAAATTCAGTTCAGATATTAGGCTAAAAGCAAAATGTTTAAAAACTGAGTTCTTAAAGTATTCTACTATATTAATTGCATTTATCTACCAAAGAATATTTTTAATAATAGGGCCACTATCAAAATATTTGCAAACAAGCGGTATTGATTTAACAAAATCTCAAGAACTTATAAATGATGCATTAAAACGTTTAATAATTATACAAAGAGATTGTGATGGCATACAAATGGTAGCAAACATATTTGTTAAGTGGGCGTCAACGGAGTTGGAAATTATTTTCGAGGAAGTGGATGTTGATGATTTAATTGTTGAAGACCATTTACCTGAAATTAAAAGTAGGAAAAGAAAATTACTACCTGATGAGATATCACATGATCAACCAATTGTAAATGCTTACCAAAAATTTACTGTGGAAGTACACAATGTAATTTTAGATAAAGTTATGTGCAAAATTAAAGAAAGATTTACTGGAAATGAAATGTTATATAGTGACTTATCTTGTCTATCTCCTATCAACTTTGTTGATATAACAACTAATGGTTTACCTACTACTGCATTGGCTGAACTCTGTAAAAAGCTTGTAATATTTGATAATCGTTTCAACACCATTGCATTAAAAAATTAACTGTTAAATTTTGCAAAAAATTGGGACAGCCTTAAGAAAACATTACCAGAATTTTACTTAGAAAACAAAAATACAAACATAACACTTGAAAATGACAAATTAAGTGATGAAGTTGAAGAATGTGACAACCAAAATGTAATGAAAACAAGTTGTAGGTTTTGCATGAATTGTTCTGTATGCTGTCTTCATGTTTTAGTCAAGTATAATATGTATAGCAGTGCTTATAGTAATTTAGCCTTGGCATACAAATATCTTTTAACACTGCCATCAACTTAGGTATATATATATTTTATAAATTATTTAAATACACTATAAATATTGATTCATACCATTTGCGTTTTATGTAGGTAGCATGTAAGCGCACATTTTCGACATTAAAGTTTATTAAAAACAGATTAAGGAGTAAATTATCGGAATCAAAACTAGAGGCGTTTATGTTAATGTCCGTCGAAAAAGAAGTACTTTATAACATAGACACAGATGACATAATTAATAAAGTAGCTAGTACCTCTAAAACATTAACTAAAGAATTAATGTATTAATTAGTTATAAATATATTTGTGTAACTAAATTTGAGTATTATATTTTTTTTCATAAAGGGCCGGCATAGGTATAGGTTTCCCGGGCCAAATTTTTATCCCAATCCGTCCCTGCAACCATAATTAGAAAATGAAATCAAAATAATACATTTCAGTTATAGAAACAGCATACTAAATTAAAACTGAATGAGCAATCAATGTTGACATTTTGATTGATGAGTTTATCAAAATAAAATGTTAGTTTAATCTGCTTTAAGTTGAAAACAAAATTATCAATTATATTCAATCAGTATATTATTATAATTACTGCAATGGATAAAAACTATATTATTTACAATTTTAGTAGGTATAGTATAAGTAGGAAATATTAAAACAATTTGTTTTAATTATCATAGTTATAATAAATTTTAATAGTAGGTATTACAAGAGGTGCCCTCGATGGCTAACTTTAATGAAAGGGTATGCCATTACTATTACCCAATAAACACTATTCATGACTGAAACTTTTTTTTTTTTTAATAGTTTCCAATATTTAAATTATGCAGTTAAAAGATTACTTTTATATGTATAAATAGAAACTTATAACTTACTAACTTAGAATACTGTTATTAAATTATCAAAATTCTGAAATAAGTTATACAAAAAAAGTTTTATATATTTTTATTTTGTTTGTATTAAATGAAATATTTTCAACAAATTGTTAAGTTTAATATTCAAAGTTCACAGTACTTAATACATATTTTATGATACTTTAATTAGTATAAAAGTATAATACATTGATATTAAAGGTATTATAAAAATATATTTTTTAAATATTGCATATTATTATTAATAATCCTCTCTCCTCTAATGTTTTCAATTCACATCTCTCTCCTCTCATTTTCACTATTAGACATATTTTATCATCCCTTACGGAATTTGGCTCGGACATTCAATTCATATGGGTACCAGGCCACTCTGGAATTGCAGGAAACGAACTCGCTGACAAGCTAGCAAAATCCTCTGCCTCCCTCAGATGTCCTTCAAGTACAAAAATTCCATGGTCTGATTTTATCCCCATCCTTAGATCCAGTACATCCAATCTTTGGCTTAGGCACTGGAGTTCACTCCCTCCTCACTTCGCCACCTGGTACAGAAATATATCTCCTACCATAACTACAACACCATGGTTTCACAACCTCAACATTTCTCGAAAATACATAACATCGTTCTCCCGCCTTCGGTTTGGACATACCCGACTTCCTTCTCATTCCTATAAACTGTCACTGAACGATTCCCCTCTCTGCATACTACACTATGACCCTATGGTCTGTGATATTAACCATCTCCTCTTCATCTGCCCCAGCTTATCAACACATCGTGACCACCTACTATCCATTTTGAACACCTCCAACATCCCTTTCGATACTATAAATTTATTTTCCAATAAACAAAAAAACATCATATTAAACATATTATCTTTCTTTAACCATTCAGGCTTTTTAATCTAAATTCATATTGTATTATTCTAATGTATTTGTAACAATAATTGTACTTTAATTATAATTGTTGAAACTAATTGTATATACAAAGTTTAAATAAAAAAAAAAAAAAAAAAAACTGGTTAATTTTAATATACAGTAAAAGCCGCTTATTAGAAACACTTTGGGACCAAGGTGAATTGTGTCAATTAACCGATTGTTTCTAATAAGCGATTAAAAAAAAAAAAATGAATAATAGGTACGCGAAAAAAATATGTATATATGTATGTACCTATATTGTATAATTTAAAAAAAGTATGCACAATTGTATATATTTTATGATATTATTTAAAATATTTATCATTCGTAATTTGTTTTTTTGCGTCGAGTAACTCCATGACCATATTTTTATACGAGTAATATTGCCCCTTTGGCTTTGTCACTTATTTTGAGTGTGTATGTGTGTTCAGGTAAAGCTCCAAAATAAATCCCAGTTTCCTTCGCATTGAAAATATCAGAGGGTGTGTATTGGGGGATAGCAAATCGGTCTAATGAGTTTCAAACCACGATTGGTCGCATGAAAATTGACTAAAATCTTAGCGTTTAGACATTTTTAGAAAAAAGGAAACACTAATAATCTTTACATACGCACGCTGAAGTTAAACTACAAACGATACGACCACTACATACAGAAAGAGCATTCTCACGATAAATTATAGTAAATATAAACGTAATGACAGGAAAGAAAAATTGAAGTTCATTGGTTATCACCGGATAATCGGTGCATATGTCAACTGACCTTCTCCAAATTGTTTCAAATAACCGATGTGATGTTTCAATAATCTGATTTATTTTCAATGTTCTAATATACGGCTGATCCGTCCCAAGACATTTTGTTGCAATAACGCGATGGTATCAATTATCTGTGTTTCTAATAAGCAGCTTCAACTGTATATTCATGCAAGGTAAATATTACATAAAAGGTATAATTGTTCTAAAACATTCTGATTACCTATTTTTCAATTATCATAAAGAATATTTTAATTTATGGATTATAGAATCTGAAAAGAAAATACAAGACATTATAATTGTTTTCATAAACTTGATTTGTTAAATAATTAAATATAATATAAAACCTTAAGATTAAAAATATTAAATTTTATTGATTTTTATCAACTCAAAATTTATTAGGGACTTAATTATAAATATTTTTCTTTTTAATTTCAATTGTGATCAATGATTAATAATTATGATTGATAAGTATTATTCTTTAATAACAAAAAAATTATGTTAAATAAACCAAAAAAATATTTAAACAATTATTTTGATAAGTACCCAAGTTTGAATGGATTCAAATCCATTCCAAATATAAAACTAATTAATACAAATTGAATTAGTTCACATCTTATAGGTTTTATTTCTACATAAAATCAAGTAAAAATAGTGAAAATTCAACTGATTAAATATTTAAGAACTAAAAAGTAATGTATTGTATATATATGTTACAGTTAAAACCCGAAATCCGTCGAAACTAGTTTTAACTAGTCAATACTAGTTTTCACAAATCCCTTTAGTCACTTCTAGTTTTAACTAGTTAAAACTAGAATTTACTAAGACTATCACCGTCAAAACTAGTTTTAATTTATTTTATTTAGTTAAAATTAGTTGTGTCTAAAATATTATATTAGTGAAAACTAGAATTATCTAGTAAAAATCCATATTATTTAAATTGATAGGTAAAACTAGTTTTAATTAGGGAATAGTAGAAACATGTAGTACATATTAAGTAATTATTAAATATAGACTTTTATTATATAATTTATTTCGGCAGGACAAACTATCATGGCATTTAGAATTACATTGAATTTTATTTTTTTTACATAAACAACGATTTGTTCCGCAGGATGTTTTGCAAGTGCATTTTACAAAGCCTTGCCCTGAGCCCGTTGATGCTTTTGTTGCAGCTGCACGGAGGAAAATATGATTTTTTGGAATTACCGTGCAATATTTAAAAATATAAAGTCTGTGGTCGAGTGCGTTTTATGTAGTATGAGTTCGAATATATGCGTTTTAGTTAAAACTAGTTTTTACTAATTTTACTGACTTATTTAAACCTACGGTTAATTCTAGTTTTAACTAGTTAAAACTAGAAGTGACTAAAGGGATTTGTGAAAACTAGTATTGACTAGTTAAAACTAGTTTCAACGGATTTCGGGTTTTAACTGTAACATATATATATATATTTAAATTTTTTGTTGTAAAATGTATAGCACATAAACATATCATTTTTACTTTAATTTTTTAAATATTTAATTATTCTATATACCTTAATTTGAAGCTTTTCTAGATCCATTTTCTTTGACATTTCAAGGTATGTTAAAGGATCTGCTTTAAATGATCCATCCTTCATGAAAGCTTCCCAAACGATTTCTTTTTCTGAAAAATCTGCTTTTGTTAAAACAATGTTTAACAAAGTACCATTGTCTTCTAATGTCCATAAAGTATCATCACCATGAACTTTTCTAAATAAATTACCCTAAAAAACAGACAGAAAAGAATGACAATATTACAATAACACAAGAAATAATTGTTACAAACTAACAGAAAATAAAGTTTTTCCTAAAATTTGACAAGTAATACTTGAGTTAGTGACATTGATTTTGATATCTTTGGATTTGGTATTAACTGGTAGAGTTACTTCAATATGTAATTCATCCACAGTTTGCCACCATCTACCCCATTTTGTAATACATGGTACAATACCACTTTTTTCATCAAAATGGCTAACGGCCATGTTTATGACAATTATCACAGGTGTTAGAACACTTGGTGATTTTCTAGTACTTATTAGTTATTTAATTAACTATTGATGGCTGCTACTTTATTTTTAGTAAACAAATTAATAGTTAAAATAAACGCTAAAATAATTATTTTCACCATCAGTTATTATTTAAACCAGCTATAATAATTCAGAAATTATAATACACGGTTGACCACAAACAGTTGTTGCATAATAAAGTAAAGTTCACTGGATCTTCTACTTTATATTTTTCACGAAACTAATACTAAATTAGAGAAATCGAGAAAGTGAAAAGTGAATTCCTCAATAGTCTATTATGTTAACAACACGAAATACGAAATAAAATTCAGTGCTTTCACTATCATAAAAAATATTATATTATCAATATTTAATAATAACCTCTAATCGGTTTTCCCGCCAATTTTTTTTATTGAATAATACTGTAATCCATATGCTACCACGCATATGGCGGTTGACTTCCAATTGTAATCAGTGCTCGAAATGGAAAATTTTCTGAACCGGAACGCTTTTTTTTGGAATAGGTACATACCATAGAATTGGGGGCTTCACCCAACCAAAATAATAATAAATAATAATTCTATATTTATAACTCAAAAATTACAGCGTCAATACAATTTTATTTACAATAACTTCCAAAGCGATTCATAGGTCTTATCACACTTTTGTTTTCTTTTACGACTTGCATTATCATCAGCTGAATGTCGACCATTCAATAACCAAGATCGAACGTATTTTTCTGGTTCGAATTTCGTTAGAGGTGGTCCAACGCAATTAATAAATAAAAGAGCAGCAACGGTTTTTATATTTAATGAAGTTCTTAGTGGTGACATGATTTCGTTCATAGAACGAAATTGCAAAAGAAAAGCTGAAGAATCAATTTCCACACGGCCACTTAAAATTATTCGCACCGAACTTTTAAATTCATCTTCGACTTCAAATTTAAACAATCAAAATGTAAGAAATGTACGGAAAGCAATGTATGATAAACGGAAGCATACCAATCCTAAATTACCAACTTATTTAGATGAAGCAATTAATCAATTAAACGTCTTACAAAATGAAGAATGTTTTAAATATAAGGGTCAACAATTCATTTACATGCCGACTGGTGATAATTTTGTATGTCTAACTACGGAACAAAATATACAATTTATGACAAATAATAATTGTACCGAGTATTTTGGTGATGGTACATTTAATTATGCTCCAAAATATTTTATTCAATTGTACACAATACATGGATATAAAAATGGATACTACTTACCACTTGTTTACTTTTTTTTACAAAATAAAACTAGGTCTACTTATATTAAAATGTGGCAGTTTTTAAATGATTTATGTTTAAAATTATGCAACAAAAATTTGCAAATCAACACATTTCATGTTGATTTTGAAATTGCAGCTCATCAGGCAATTACAGACGTGTTTGGAAATGTTAAAATAATTGGATGTAGATTTCATTTAGGACAATCATGGTGGAGAAAAGTAAGAAATAATTATACAACAAAGTATTTACTACTTTTCACTTTTTAACTAAAATATAATAATTTGTTTGAAGATTGTTGGCGAACCTTCTCTCAGAATAGCATACATGGACAATATTATGCTCAATCGTGTTGTAGCCGACAAACTAGTAACTACACTATCGGCAGACGACGATTATCTAAAGATAAGCAATAAATTTACTAATGCGTCGCAGTCGTTTGTCGCTTATTAAATATTTTACTATGCACAATTCTGCAAAATGTTTAAATTTTACAAAAATGTGGTAGGTACAGTAAAAATTTGTTTGAACCGGAACGATAAACGTATTTTTTTTACGAACCGGAACGCTAAAAATTTTTTTGTCGTGAACCGGAACTGCGTTCCGGTGCGTTCCGGTCCATTTCGAGCACTGATTGTAATGCTAGTTAGCTATCTAGCTATTGTATATAATATTTGTGCTCACGTTAGAATTTAACTGTAGATAGCACTATCTACAACTGTGTTTGGCTTTTATCCATAGATAACAAATTATATTATCCATGTACTTATCAATCATTATCATGAAGAACCGTTTTAAGATAAATTTTATGATATGAAATAGAATGTCCACGAAAACTAGAATAAGGAGATTTTGGAGATCAATCTTATACCGCCGCTCACTCGAAAAAATTTACCGTAATGTGTGGCGCATTTAAATGGCCACGGCAGCGGTTGTTAAGGTTGCTAGTAGTTTAACTCGAGTAGAATATTCCGTGTTATTCATGTTTTTGACTTCTTTTGGAGAATATATGTAATATTTTAAACTATGACCCATGAGGTGATTATAAATATTATAGCTCGTAAAATTACGCATTCTTACTTGTGTATATTTGATAAACATTTTTTTTTTTTTTATCATTGTGTAAATAACAACTTAGTCAATCCGTTATTATTATCAATATTGATGATTTTATTACAATTAGGTTTTTACATGACTCCCACTGCCCAATAAAAAAAAAATAAAAAAAAATACATAAATATTAGATAAATAATTTATAATTGACAAGCTCTTGGAAATTAAAAGTAAATACTAAAAGTACAATTTCATTGCGTTCTGTTGAGTTTGAATATTAATTGTTTCAACATATAAGATAATTAATATATGACATAGGTAACTATGTTCATTAAATAAATATAACATATTTTTTATTATCTTGAGGTTATTTTTCAATAAATTTAATTTTTTCATCAATAGGCTTGATATATCCAGTTGCCTTTATAAGTGTTGATAGTTTAAACATTTGATTATAATTCATTCAAGAAATCGGGGATATGTTTATTACACCAAGTTTGAGTATCGAATATTTCCATACCTAAAAACAAAAGTAATTTATCCAGAATGAATTTTTGAGCAATACGTAACTTGGAAAGTCCAGTACACCGAA